ATTCAATATTGAACTCATTTCGAAATATTCGATATCTATTTGCAGGGGAAGCAGCTAAGACTGAGCAATCTTGTTTGATCCGATCCGGATTTCTTGATTGTTAGAAGAGACTAGAGTACCATCCGGTTTCCGACGCGCATAATCTCGATATTGCAATGATTTTATAGTTCTTGAAATACCAAAAAAAAAAAAAAGAAAAAAAAAATGGGTCCACGAGTTACACAGATCCTTCTGCTTCTCCTCTTTATTCTCATATCCAGTCACGATGTCAAATCCGAACACGAAAACGAAACCCCACAAAAAATAATAACCTCCCCACATAGGAATGCAGGGGGTGGTGTAATAGATGGGTCCGGTACAGAGCATATTGATATAGGTGAAGATAATAATAATAGGGTTTCGGTATCGACGGTTGCTTTGTGTACGCTTTTAATGGCTGCAGCGACTGGTTTAGGCGCTGTGCCGTTCTTTTTCGTTGAGCTCGATCCTCAGCTGGCTGGGATATGCAACGGAATGGCGGCAGGTGTAATGCTTGCTGCTAGTTTTGACCTAATACAAGAAGGGCAGGCACATGGGAGTGGTAGTTGGGTCGTTTTCGGTATTTTGGCCGGGGGGATTTTCATATGGCTTTGCAAGAAGGTGAGTCTCTTTTTCGGTATATATAAATCGGGGTATGCAATAGTTTTTTATGCAACAGCCTTTTCTTGTTTTCGTAACGCAGGATGTTAGCTTCTTCTTGAAAAAAAAGTCGATCTTTCACTTTATTTTATGCGCGCGTATTGCATATAGTTCTCGATTAAGTAATTGTGTTGTAGAGATTTGAGGCATGCTTTGCATTGTGATAGTTATTTTTCGTGATTTTTCGGCTTGCTAAAGAATGTGTACCCGTAAACTGATATATCACTTTTATGATGTCATCTTTTTTGTTACCGGCATTGTGTAAAGACGACATTTTTACAAAGATTTTTTCATCGATTGTTTTTAGAGTTAAGAACTTATACGTTCGATTTTTGCTCGTGCCCTTTTTTGTCGACACGCAGTTGCTCGAGCAATACGGTGAAGTGAGCATGCTGGATATAAAGGGAGCGGAGGCAGCTAAAGTGATTCTTGTAGTTGGAATTATGACTCTTCATTCGTTTGGAGAAGGTTCCGGTGTCGGAGTTTCGTTTGCCGGCTCAAAGGGTTTATCTCAAGGTCTATTGGTTACTTTGGCAATTGCTGTGCATAATATACCCGAAGGCTTAGCTGTTAGTATGGTCCTCGCGTCGAGGGGAGTGTCTCCTCATAATGCCATGTTGTGGAGTGTAATTACGTCTCTGCCCCAGGTATTTAGATTTTTTTTTTTTTTTTGGGGGGGGGAAGAATTAGCAATTTGTTGATTTTTGTTGATGATGCATGCAGCCTATTGTTGCGGTGCCTTCGTTTATATGTGCCGATGCGTTCAACAAGTTCTTGCCTTTTGCGACGGGATTTGCTGCTGGTTGTATGATTTGGATGGTCATGGCTGAGGTTCTTCCGGATGGTTTTAAGGTAGCCTCGTTTGTTTTTACTTTTAGTTTTTTTTAATTTGTTTTTTTTTTTTTGTGGCAAGAGTAAAAGAATTAAATTTCTCGAGATGGCCAATAAAAAATCAAGAATCTTGTTGTATGTATATACTGTACCAACTCCTTTCGCATATATTGCAGGAAGCGTCCCCGTCTCATGTCGCATCTGCAGCTACACTTTCTGTCGCTTTCATGGAAGCCCTCGGTGCTGTTTTCGAGCATTTCAGCCACAACTACAAGTAAATCTCTCTTTCTCTCTCACACACACACACACAAAAGAACGCACGCACACGTTTTTAACTAAGCTACCGTAAATTTTGCAGCCCAGAGGACGCCTCCGGCTTGCTCGTGTCACTACTATTCGGGCTGGGCCCACTCCTGGGAGGTGCAGCCCTTGTCGCATTCGCCCTCGCCTTCAAGCTCCAGCACGCCCTCCTCACCGGATTAGCCTCTGGCACCGCCTTCATCCTCGCCACCTGGCGGCCCCTCCAACTACTCCTTTCCTCCAAAATGGGCCCACTCCCGATCATCTTCCTTCTCTCACTAGGATTCGCATTCGCCCACGTACCCATATCCATCGTCTCAAAAAACCTCGGGGCCCGCAAGAAAACCTCCGCACACACCTTAGCCTCTTCTGCCGCCGCCACCTACTCCCTGAGCGCACTCACCCTACAGTCGATCTTGTCTTGTTCCGCAATCGCTCTCCATGCCCTCGCGGAGGGGCTCGCCTTGGGGGTGGCGGCCCCCAAGGCGTACGGGTTGGGTAGGCACATGGTACTACCCGTTTCTCTCCATGGGTTCCCACGTGGGGCCGCCGTCGCCAGCTGTATATTCGGGGCGACCGCCAGCTGGCAGGGGGCGCTGTTTTCGGCGGCGGTTATTGGGTTTGTGGGCCCACTTTCGGCGATTGGAGCGATACTCGGTGGGATTGACTATAGTGGATTGGACCATGTGATGGTGTTCGCGTGTGGGGCCCTCTTGCCGTGCTTTGGGGGGATTGTTAGGAGGGCGGTGAAGTTGGATAAGAGGAGGGGCGTTTTCGGGATTTTTGTCGGGGTGGCGTTTGCGAGTGTGTGTTTGACGTTTACGAAGCTTGTGTGCTTGCATACGCCTTATTGCAACTCGGCTCCCGAGGCTGTAAGATGATTTTTGTAGAGTCGAAAATTGTGATCAACGTACTTTTTATGTCAATTGTAATATGAATTTTGCCTTTTTCGGCAGTTTTTTTTTTTAAATTGGGTATAGGGATTATTTTTGAAGTATATGGTGAAATCAAATTTAACAGACGGAATATTCTGTTCCAAATCATACTTTAAGTGTTTAAATTAATGACGTCATTTATCCCATTGTGTTTTTCTTATATTTTTCAGAGTGATTTTGGAAATTGAAAAATACAAAAATATTGTTAAATTTCACTAATTTAATAAATATAAATAAGTGAAAGTTAAAATGTTTTGCAGAATTGATGTCTACTGGATGTTATACAAGAGTTGTTCACATAGCATTACAGAAAAAAGCTGTTGAGCTGTGACTCGGGCGAGAAAATTTGAGCTCGTGGATTCGACAATCCGTACTAACTTTGATATGTGTAGTGAAAAGACGGTTATGCCCCTGCGATGGGTTTCTGGGTTTTAAGGCCGAACAAGTTGTCGAATACTTTGGAGGCCGTTGGAGGGAAGTCCATGGGCCGCGGTGCCATAAAATTGACGATCTTTTCGTGCACATGATACCTGCATATTATTACAACTCAAAATTGGTCAAACTACACAAAATAATAATAATAATAATAATAATAATAATAATGAAAACAAAATTGTTATCAACATTTGCCGACTTACCGGATCTTGCGACTCTTTGAAGCACGACGATCGACGATTTTTCTTTTTTTAGTTTGCAATCTTTTCACAGCATAGTAAGCCATTTCTGTAATTAAAAAAAAAAAACAGAAATTAATGATTATGAATCATAGTAAATTAGTAATCAATATGAGAAATTATTACCAGATGATTCCGGGTCGATTGACTCAAAGAACTCCTTCAATAATTGCTGGTAGAAGTCCATGTCATCCAGAAGTTCAGGGTCATCGTTTGCATAAGTCTCCTGCTCGGTTTTTTCGAAACTTTTAATTACACGTTACTTAGCGTTGATTATCGCACGCTCAAAATATCTATTAATTCTTGAAAGCTTTTAAAGATAAAAGAAATATGACCTCTTTCTTGATATTATTATCAGTCGAATCCGGAACCTGCTGAAAGGACAAAGCATGTCAAAATATAAACATATTCACATTTACTAATTGATTTAAGTGTCAATACTCGAAAAAATCGAGTATCGATTAAATTTCAAACCTACTTTTCCAAATACTGCAACGGCCGATTTGTTCTGCTGCATCCCCTTAACCATTTTACTTGGATCTCTCATATAAGCAGCCACTTGCTCGCTTATACTCTGAAGCAGTGTAAACATAGTCAGTTATATATATATAATTTTTGTAGATATTGTGCCGTAATATTTTATTTACTTAGTCTTAAAGGAATTAAACCTGATTAAACGCATGCAATTTGTCTTTGATAGCAGCTGCACCGGTTGTGACCTGAGTCTTCCTCTGCCATTTATCAATTGATTTGTTTCTAAATGCAGCCATTCTACAACATACAACAATTAACAATTAGTATTATACAGGAAAACACGTGTAAAATGATTTAAAATAACAAATGTACGAGTCTTGCAGAATACGAAACTAATGCACAGAACACAGTAAGAATCAATACTGTTTGCTGTTCGTTGGCCACATCCAATTGTAGCGGCAAAAGCAATTTAAAGTTAAAGATCTAAATTCAAAAACAAAAAAATCTAAATTCAAACAGAATCATAAATCACCAAGTTATTTAGTTGCCTGCTCCACGTATTATTTCGTGACTAAACATGTCGGGAATTAGACAGCGATTTCTTTTTTCATAGAAGACGAAATTGAGCAACTATTTTACTGAACGTAGAGCAAAGCATTTACAACAAAAAGAGTAACCAACACGTGTCGGATAATGGAAGTACCTTGATTGCATTTGAGAAATCTGCAACCATTCTTTATCAATATCTTCATTTGAGTTATCGGAAGCTTCTAATTGCTTGGAATCGCTCATGGAATTAGCTTCGGAGGGAGAAAAAAAACACACAACCACCGCTTTTGTATCAGCATCACGATTCGAAACTTTCACCACTTGGATAACCAAAAAACAAAAGAAGAGAAATCTACAATCAATACCTTCTTCGAATTGAGTAATCGATGGATTGTTTGCCACCAATGCCTGACAAATTAAGTCCAGTTAAGTGCAGAAAAAGGAATATAGCTTCCACGGTGGTACCCTTACGAGACGAATTTATTAACTACTTCAGGTATAGTTGTGAAAGTTGAAAGTGAAGCTAAACGGAAATACTTTGACCAACAGAAATACCTGCTGTAGTTCCAGTATAGAATCCAACGTCTTCTTTGAGGAAGCAATTAAATCGGAATACGCTTCGCTGACATCACTATCAGTTTCGCAAAATAAGGACCTAACTGGTTCCTGCACACAACAATTATTTCTTCATCTCCGGTATTTTTTAATGCACTACATGCTGTTAAATCATTATTCAAAACGAACAAAATTCCAAATTAAAAACCTGGGGAAGTCGGTTCGAACTTGAGAATGACTTTTGCAGTAAGAATCTGAATTCAAGCGTCTTGTCCCAGATAGCCTTATCAAAGGGAGTAGGAGTAAGTTCAGTATAAGATCTATGTAATAACATACATGAACATGCAAAAACAGAAGAAAACGAACACAGCAGAAAGCCGATTATGTAACAGCCACGGCGAACTTTTCGTGCTAGTTCAAAAGGATAAAAAATTTAACCGAGAAAAAGGGCTCTTCCAAAAAATGAACGTTTTCGAATCAAGAAAGCGAACGATTTTAACGACCGTATACACGAAAAGGTAATGATTCAGTGACATTATACCCGTTGATTTGTCACAGCTTGACCTTTTTGGGTATCCTCATCCTTATGATGCTTCAGATTCTTCCAAATATCTCTGGATTCATTAGTCACAAGAATGAATTAGCACGTGATGCAACATAGCCAAGAGAGAGAAAACCTTTACACATAAAACCTTAATTTAAGGATGATTAATTGGCTACATTCATGATAAACATTATCTATTTACGTAAAGAAGAACGGAAACCGCACAAGAACCAAATTGACTCTAAATGCTAATCATAATGTATTTCCCGGTAAACCACTCTACACTGTTACCATTAACACTAATCCAAAGATTACGCCCCTATACTGACCATCAACCAATATTTATAGTTGCTCAAAGTTGAAATGCAGAAGTACAGAAAAACAAAATTATGTTCGGTAATAAACCATAGTGCAATTGTTCTTCGCAAATAAAGAAGGGAGTCGAATTACTTACTGCTCCTCGTTTTTAAGCTCTAAATACTCTTTCTCCAGCTCTTCCATTTCCTCCTCTTTTAGAACATTTTTATCATCGAGCACACCTTCACCCACCTCCACGTCATCATCATAATCATATTCATCACGATCATCGTCATTTTTATCCACCTAAAACCAAGCAAAGAAACATAAAAAAATAAAAATTAATAGTAATAATAATTATAGAAAAATTAAAAAAGAATCAACAATGTAAATACATCATAAGAAACAAAAAATGGATAATTTAGGACACCAAAGAGAGGCTAACCTGGGAGTCGTCATCGCTATCTACCGTCTTCCTTGATTTCTTCTTCTTACCCACCTAAAATCAAGCAAAAGAAACATAAAATTAAAACAAAAATACACAAAAAAAAAAAAAAAAAATCAACAATTTAAATATATCATAATCAACACCAATTGGATAATTCAGGACACGAAAAGAGAGGCTAACATGAGTAACTTTATCCTCAAATCCATCAAACCCCAAATCGCTGTCACTATCATGTACAATCTTCCTTGATTTCTTCTTCACCATTATTACAGAAATACCTATAACCCAGCGGAAAAAAGTAGAAAAAATCAATTACAAAATTAATCTGAAAAATAAGCATGAAATGCATAAACATCAACAAATTGATAATTAATGCTGCGCTGAATTGAAACTCACCTTTCCACCGGAAATCGCACAAAAAAAATTTATCTTCAGCGGACAGAATTGTGGGAACTAGGGTTTAAGTTCAACTGAGGGGAGAGAGAGTGAGAGTTTAGGCGGGATATAATTGTAATTACACCTCTTACGTTATTTTTTTAAATTTTTTATTATGTAATTAATATTCTGATTTTTTTTTTTTTTTTTTTTTTTACATATTTAAAATTGGGCTTGATGTCAATATTAAATTTGGATTTTAAATATGGGCTCATATTTGATACTAGCCCAATTAGAGGGCCTCGATAAAATTTTAAGCTTAGTTTGTTGATGGCATAGGTGAAAGATAAATTAAGCAAATATCATATAAAGTTCAATTTGAAAGTTTGGTTTTTATACATCTTATATTAATTTTGATTTACTAATAGGATGTTCGGCTAAGATTATTTTAAATAGATGCTAAGCTTTTACGTCTATAAATTGTTTTAACAGTTGATAAGCTGTTAAATCTTATTTTTATAATTAACTTTTAAAGTGTTTATAATTAGTTTATAAGCTATTTGTACTCATTATATGATCTTAAATATAAAGATAATGGTATATATGTTTTTGTAAAAAAAAATAAAAGCTCTAAAAAAAAAGTAGTTTATTTTTTGAATTTTTAAGATCTTCCAAAAAAAATTATGAGACTTTGAAAGAATGTATAAGCTCTTAAACATAATTTTTTTTAACATCTTATTAGTTTAGTTAAATATTATTATAATCCAGATTCTAAACCAATACTCCATTTTCATATCAATTCATTGAAAAAAGAAAAGAATAAAAGGACCTAATACAAATTAATCATGAGCCAGGAACCAAATTTGAACTGATGACACGAGGATTTTCAGTCCTATGTTTCACCAGCTGAGCTATCCCGAACATTCCCAATGTAACATCCCTATCCTCATTCTTGAAAATCTATCCAACAATGCAAGATACTTCAAATTTGATTTATAATTGGAAAAAAAAAAACATATTAACAAATTATTTATTTGAAATAATTAGATAGTATTTTGAAAAAAAAAAAAACTTTTTTCTGTTTCAAACTTGCACATGGGGGTGATGACTCGAAGAGTAAATTACGCTTATGGGGTTTGGACCCATTCTTGGACATTTTAGACCCATCCATGATACATCACCTAATTCGGTGATTTCTGGGTCCCACCATAAAAAAAAAACATGTTTTTATTAATTTTATTGAATAGTTTTTCATATGTATACATTTTCTTACAGGTTCATCTTTATGCTGTTAAATTCAACGGAATCTTTTAAATTCCATAAAATGTTTTCTAGTTTGTACTCATTTTGTGTACAAATGCAGTTTTTGATGTACCACAATCTGATATTTACAAGTCAAGAGACACGTTTTATTATCATCTGGTTCCAAAATATGGAGCTCGAATGTGGTAAAACGGATACAAATTGGAGAATATTCCACATAATTTAGAAAATACCACTAATCTGTCACACCAAGAGTGGACGGACGTGTAAAAAGATTCATACTTTATGGGTGGTTGTAATTACCCAAACATGAGAGAGTTTTTTCATAATTTGACCTTATCTCAGGGGCTTACTGTAATTTCCATATTTCTATATATATATATATATATATATATATATATATATATATATATATATACATGTGGTAAAATATAAAATATTGCAAAATTTATAGAATAAATCAAACCTTGAAAGTGCTAGTTTTACAATAAAAATTTAATATTTTTTTTAATTACTTTTTGGCATGAGGAAATAGCATTGAGTAAATGATTTTGGTTGAGAGATAATTTATTAACTATTATGGCTAGGGCAGCTATACATTATCAGAGTTGTTTATGAGTTAATAATTACATACAGGATACATAATTGAGTTGTGCAATCAATCACCATTGAAATATTTTTTCTCAATAGAAAAATAAATAAATAAAAGTGACTAATAAAGTACATAGTTCAAAGGCCGGTGGGCTGCAAGTTTGCAACAATGGCATTAATTGCAATGAATTCGTTGTCAAATACACTTAAACTTTGATAAATTAATACTATTAGATTAGCAAAATTATATGAATTTAGTAAAATATTAAATTATTGAACTAATAATTTAATAAAATTGAGAAATTAATATATAAACGGAATTATTAATTTATCGAGGTTCTGCTGTTCGAAAATTAATTCCAATAACACCTCTCTCGAGATGGACACGACATTTTTTCCTTGTAAGATTTGGCATCAATGATTGAACAAGGCCCAGTTAGATTCTTGTCTAAGAGGAAAGGTTAATTTTTTTTTTTTTCAAAATTCAAAATTCAAAAGATTAAAAGAAAATGAAAAAGATGATTTGTTAATTGGAATACACAAATAATATAAATGGGGGGAATTGCATGAATCAAGGAGAAAGATAAAGCCCTAATTATTATTAAAAAAATAATATAAACTGTGTTTTTTTGAGACAAACAGACAAATTATCACCATGTTGCATCTGCCCCTTAAAAGGTGTACTTGTTCCCATGCTCTCTCCCTCTCTCTCTCTCTCTCTCTCTCTCTCTCTCTCTCTCTCTCTCACACACACACACACACACGCACACAGACTCTATGGTGTATAAATAAATGCACAATGCAGATGCCCTAATACCATCCTTTACCTTAGACCATTCTCTCTCCCTCTCTCTCTCTCTGTGTGCTGATTCTGTTGTGCAAAAATGAAAATGAAGATCTCTTTCATGCTTTCTCTGTGCTTTCTCTACACTGTGTCTGCTCTTGCACCACCACCTCCTTTTGAAGGTATGCCATAACATTTTATCTACTTATCTTACTTACAACTGCACTTCATGTTCTAATTCTTTGTATGCAGCACTAGATCTTTACCAAGTCCTAATTCTTACAGAGATTCTTGAAAATCAATTTTTTTACCCAAAGACACAATTTTTATGCTATACTAATGTTACGGTTTGGTTTTCGGGTTTCGGGTTTTTTTTACATGTATACTTTCATCTACTTGTCCTAGTTATAACTTTACTTCACATTCTCATTCTTGGTAGATCTTTACCAAGTTCTCATTCTTTTATAGAGATTCTTTAACTGCTAACTTGATCTTCATTTTATACTGATGTTTTTATTCAGCTCCTACACACACACACACACAGACACTCCTAGCATAATTTCTTGAAAACTGCAAATCTTTACCCATAAAACATGATCTTTATCTTACATTAATGTTTCTATTTACCAAGATTTGACACTAGCCCACATTATATTTATCAGGGCTTCTCCCCGAATGGGAATTTCGAAGAGAAACCGAGCCCTAAAGACATCAAGAAAACAGTGCTCCAAGGCAAACACTCCCTCCCCAAATGGGAAATCAACGGCTTCGTTGAGTACATCTCCGGTGGGCCCCAGCCAGGTGGCATGTACTTCGCCGTGGCACACGGGGTCCACGCAGTTCGCCTCGGAAACGAGGCCTCGATTTCCCAAACCATCCCCGTGAAAAACGGCTCTTTGTACGCACTCACATTCGGTGCATCGAGAACTTGTGCACAGGATGAGGTTTTGAGGGTTTCTGTGCCTCCTCAAACAGGGGACCTCCCTTTGGCTACACTTTATAGTAGCAACGGTGGCGACACTTATGCTTGGGGATTTAGGGCTAATTCGAATTACGTGAAGGTGATTTTTCATAACACTGGTATGCAGGAAGATCCTGCTTGTGGGCCCCTCTTGGATGCCGTTGCCATTAAAGAACTCTTCCCTCCTAAGCCAAGTAGAGGTAATTATCATCTAACAAACACCTCTCTTATCTTCAATGGTTTTCTCGTTTCCTTGATCGATTTTCACCTTTTTAAGGTTTATAAATGTTCGGTTTCATGTTTATGCTATTTCCTTTCGTTTCGGATGGAACGATTTTGGGTGGGGAGAATCTTGACATAGCTTCAAATGAGATACGTTCGAAATTCACCACAATAACCTGGAAAACAACTCGATTTTAAAGATTTGAAATTCGTTGTGAAAACGATTTCATCGAAACACGTTCGATAGAATTTGTTATTAAGGGTTTTAAAATCCCAGCCTCCAAATCATTCGATTAAAAAATCGAGCCTCATAATGGAGAGTTTACAATTTTCCTAGCATGTGATTTTTAGCTGTGCATGCACTGTCTTTGTGCATTATGTTAAACACTAAACATAAGATCTATTATACTGTGCTTAGCTTTCACAGCATTATTAAATGGTCTGACTTTTAGTTATTCCCTTCACCAGGTGGCTCTACTTTGACTTCATAATTTTATTACATGTCTAATTCCCAGATCCAACTGTTTCTGCAGTATTCGACATGTAATCTATGTTTACTAATTAAACAATAAAACCCTTTATTCCAACTATTTTTTATTTTTATTTTTTTTGCAGTGAACCTAGTCAAGAACGAAGGATTTGAAGAAGGCCCTCATCTACTAATGAACTCGTCTCACGGAGTTCTCCTCCCACCAAAACAAGAAGACCTAACTTCACCACTCCCTGGTTGGATTATCGAATCATTAAAAGCTGTGAAATTTATCGACTCAAAACATTTCAACGTACCTTTCGGAAAATCTGCAGTCGAACTTGTTGCGGGAAGAGAGAGCGCAATTGCGCAAATCATCAGAACAGTCCCAAACAAAGTCTACAATCTCTCGTTTGTTGTTGGTGATGCTAAAAACGGCTGTCATGGATCGATGCTTGTGGAGGCTTTCGCTGCTAAAACTACATCGAAAGCACAGTTTAAATCTGAAGGCAAAGGGAAGTTTTCGACTTACAACTTTCAGTTCACGGCTGTTTCGGACAGGACCAGGTTGACTTTCTTCAGCTCGTTTTATCATACGAGGATCGATGACTTTGGCTCTCTCTGTGGCCCTGTTCTTGATGAAGTCCGTGTTTTTCCTGCAGCGAAGATGTAATAATAATAGTAATATATATTTGCATTATCGAGATATTTGAGACGAACAATTCTAAGATATATGTAATAGATGATTAGCCTCTTCTCGAAGCTAATCAAAGGATAAGGCATTACTTTTGCAA